TTTGAACAGCTCACTTTTCTCTCTTTCTGTTTTTAGTAGAAACTGGAATGTTTTCAATTTCTATCCTGCAGGGCAAAGTCCTATTTGTTAAGTTAATGTGCAGTTATAATTGTAAATCATGCACCTGGTAAAATCTTATAAATGCCCAGGCAACTAGTCAATTTTAGTACTTTAAACTACTTAAGCACAATGTTATGTAAGAATATGAATTGTTACATAGGATAAAATAATTTCCCATCCATCCCAACATATTTGCAATGCAGAGGACATTTCCGATTATTCCATACCCATGAACCTCTTTTTAGATTTGAAACTCACAGTTTGAGAGTCAGAACCAGAATGAATAGGCTAAAGACTCACTACTTAACCAAATCAGATTAATGTAAACCTGACTTGGAGTGGATAGGTAAAAGTGTGATTGTACGTGACTGCCCAAATAAGTTGAAAGCTGAGAGAGGCTTTCCATTTTGTTGCTTATATTTTTAAGAAAACATGTACATTTTGTATAAACTAGGCAATAAATATTATTGTACTGACAACTTTATTTCCTTTTATGAGTCACTACTTAATCCATCCCCATTGAAGGGTTACAAAATTGCAACAACTGCAGAAGACAACTGCACCTAATATGGTGATAAATCAAGAAGACTTTACAGAAAGGAATGGTCAAGTGAAAAAGTTTTTCAAAAATCTTAAATTTTGTTTTCTATGAAAACAGTACAAAGATATATACAGTGTAAATTTTTTAAAAATGAGATTGTGATGAACTGTCATAGCTTAGCTATATTCAAGTTTCAACAGTATTCACAAGATTTCAAAATAATTGACACATTGTCAGAGCAAAAAAATGATCTTTTCTATAAAAACAAATAGTTTAAAGGAGTAAAAAAAATGAACAAAAAGATTCAAAGCAATTTCAAGTAAACATAAATGTGCTTTGGATGATTGAAGAATGATAAAGACTAAAATGAGAAAGAGGAAGTTCATCGAACCTTATAATTTATCACTTAAAAACTTAAAAATGTAACTCATTAAGGCATTTAGGTAACATAGGATGTATCTTATACAAAATGGGTTTTATAATTGCTCAGCCACTTACACAATTTTGTTAGACACTAACGGGCCACTTTCTATACACTAACATAAGCATTAGGAAGTAAGAAATGAGAAGACACAAGCACATAAATAGCCTACTTAAAACTATACAGGTATTAACGCACAGGAGTCATAGATGCTCCACCCATACCATTATTTAGCCGAGGATCATTGGGTGAATCATCGTAAGAGTCATCCAGGTCAAGTTCATCATCTTCCTCTTCATCATGACTGTCGCTGCTGTCATCGTCATTGTCGTCCTCTTCCTCATCTTCATCCTCTTCTTCCTGCTAAAATGACAGCAAAATTGGTAAGGATAATAAAAAATGCAGACCACAGTGGGCTGCCTACTTTAATTCTACATTTACAAGCTTCATAAGCTTTAGTGGGTAGGTCAACTCCTGCATGAAATAAGAAAATCCTGGTGTCAATATTTACCTCGGTAGCTGGTTTGCCAATGGGGACAAGTTCCTTGTCTTTGTCTGCAATTCCATTAAGCTGAAACAAAAAGCGCATAGGACAATGAGACGCGGCTTGTCACTTCAAGAGAGAAGGCCAAGTTACGGCTTGCAATTTGTGAATGACAGCTGCAGAGTTCAGGTTAGTACCCAGGACTGGTGTTCTTGCTCCAGCTGAGTCAACTCGTTGTCGTCGTCGCAGGGCCGGTCGACACTGAACCACGCCGGGTTGACGACGCGAGGGGTGAGGCTCGGAAACAGAGGGATGGACATTGCTGCGGTGGAAACTCGCAAACGACGCAATACACGAAAATAATGTGAATTGTCTTGGAAGACCAGACGACGGCGGGCTCGGTTGGGCTGGCGTCGGCGTCGTTAGCGTAGAAAAACAACAACAACACTGAGCGGGGCAGTATGAGAAATTCTGAGGGCATTTATGGCTCGCGATAAAAATGTTTGACGTGCATATTGCCGATGGTTTATTTAGAATTTTACGGAAAGGAAAACTGCGACAAAATCTCAAAAAATATTTTTGACTGAGCTCCAACTTGATTTCCACATTGGACTCTCCGTCCTTTCAAAGAAAACACATCCCGAGCGGGCGCGCGGCTTCTGTTGCCTGCTGCCATCTGTCGGGCGGTTGGCGAACGCCCGCGGGCTTTGGCGCGGTTTTCAAACCAGTGATCTGGGATGTTACATCGTCGTTTCGTTCTTTTCACTGTTTATGAAATGAGTAGCGTTTCGTACACATTCATTTGGAAGCGTGGAACAATAGTACACCCCCACCCCCCCTCCAATTCCCCGCTCTCTCTGGCCGTCCGCTAGTCCGGTGGCTGCCAGAGCAGCGTTGAGCCGCCTAAAGGTGGGCAATTTGTGCGACAAAACCCCTGTATGTAGGCAACCCACCTCGAGTTTCATCCCCTGGGCTGCGAGTTCGGGTATGCCTACCCTTCCGCCAGGCGCCGGTAGTGGCCGGGCGCTGTCACTGGATGCGGCCTCCCTACCGAAGCACCGCCGAAGGGTACCCGAACCACCAGCCCGAAGGGTCCGGCCGGTCCGCCCCGCTCCCGCTCTCCTCCCCGTCGCTGTCCCGCTGTCTCGTCCCGCTCCCGCTCTAGTCCTGCTGGTCCTGCTTAGTCTGCTTAGTCCCGCTGTCGCGCTCCGCTGTCGAGCTCCGCTCTCCTAAGTGCAGGTGCAGACGAGCCCGAGCCGTGCCCTCGCCTCGCCTTCGCCACAAACAAGCAAGAAGTAATCCCGTAGGCTGGAGGGAGTTGGCAACATTTGGGCGGCTATTCTCCTTAGCTGCTGCTGGTAGTACGTATTTTTGCTGGGACGACTGCCCTCCTCAGTGTGTGATTTTTGACGACGGCTTGCCCTCCACTTGAAGAACTGCTTGACGAGGGCGACGAGCTTCTCGGCGACGCCCCCCC